TGCAGCCACTACATTGAAATAGAGAAGCATTTGTCTTTGTTCTGAAAATGTAACATAACAGTGAAAAGCAAGGGGCATGCCAAAGGCCAGACTGAAGTGATCATGGGTTTGCCAGATAGGTCAGAGCTAGGATTGTCTGCCAGTTACTGACCTGAAGCTTGATCTCACTGGGATGAAGGTAATTTTCACCATAACAACTCCTGTGGTGCTGATAACAGACCAACATTTCAGATACTGCTGAATAGTGTTTGTGCAGCATGAAAGCATTGTCTGCTCACTCTTATCCCCAGTGAATGGAGTGTGTCAGAGGTAGGGAATGGACACAATTAGGCATATGACCCAAATTGACCAAAGAGATTTTCCATGGCCTACAGTGTCATGTTCAGTGATTAAAAAGTGTTAAGGAGTTAAGTATCTATAGTTTGGGAACTGATGTGGCATCAGTCTAGCATGGAAGGTGGTTAGTGATTGTCCTTGTATCATGAGCTCTGTTTTTTGGGGCTTTTTTCTTTATATCTTCTTCCACTTTTCCATTGCCTGTTAAACTGTTCTCACCTGGACCCATGAATTTTCTGGGGTTTGCTCTTTCCTTTTATCTTTCCCCATAAAACTGTCTTTGGGGGTGGGGAAGGGAGCAAGTGTCTGTGTGGTGCTTTGGTGACCACAATAGCTTAGCTTAACTCATATGAGTTTTCAGAACAAATCTCTAGCTGTATGTTTAAAACCCATGAATTAATGGAATTGAAGCTTTCTGTAGAAGAGTTTTGTGTTCTAAAGTCCATGGAAGCAGGGAGCATTGACCAGGCTTGAAAGTTTTACTGCCGATTTGTGGATTTCATGTTTCATGGAAGGCTGGCCTTCCTTTGTCCTAAGAGAAAGCTGGAAATGTGAGGAAAACTGCAAAACCGTGATTTTGAATATCAAATAGTGAAAATATTTGCCTGGTTTAGCTGCCAGAAAAGTAATTCTCAGTCATTCCATGCCCACAAAAAAATGATTAAGGAAGTAGAAAATTTATATGTTCACTCCCCATTGATCCTCCAATAAGAAGCTGCACTAGTGTCCTTACAGCCAGTGCATCTCTGCTTTGAATTATCTGAATGCAGGGTCAAGTCCTATACTTGCTAAGGATTGAATATAGGGAGCACAGACACAAATATTATGCAAGGCCTGGCTGGGATGGAGTTAATTTTCTTCCAGCTGCTTCTCTGTTTTGGATTTGTGACTAAAGCAGTGATGTTGACACAGTGTTGTGGCATGGCTTGTATGGCATTGGGGCTTTCTCTTTTCCCAACTCTGCCTCAGCAGAAGGTTGGGGCAGCCTGACATATTGGGAGAGGATGTAACCAGGACAGTTGACCCAAAATGACTGAAGGAATATCCTATGCCAAAGAATATCATGGGTGGGGAGGGTTTGGGGTTATTTCTGAATGTAGACATTGCTTGGAGACTAACCAGGTGTCCGTATCAGTGTGCTTGTGGGAGGTGACTTGCTTCTTCACATCATTTGCTTTTGTTTTATTCTTGTTTATTGTTGTTCTCTTTCTTCTTCCTTGTTCCTTCCCATTTTAAACTATTTTTAGCTCAACCCCTTGAATTTCATTGCTTTTGTTCTTCCTATTCTCTCCTTGTCTGACAGTGGTGGATAAAGTGGCTGTGTGGGGCTGACATGCTGACCAGTGTTAACCCACAACACATCCTAAAATAGTAGTCATCTGTGGCACCTGCCAGGCAGAACTCACTCAGGACTTGATTTTCACTCATATGCATGAAGGTACTAATGGCTTAAATGTTTGCTGTGTAAGGCCTCAAAACAGAAAAGGGGCATTGAGGCTTCTGAGAAGGAGAATGACACAGATGGATCCTATAATATTTAGATAAAATAATTTTTTGATATCTGGCAAATCTTATATTGTGTATCTATAGAACTGCTTTTATGCAGGTGCTTCCTGATCCAGTTGGCATGTAGCCATCAATCTGTTCACCCCAGAAAAGAGTCTCATTTGAAAGCTTGCCTATTGAATTGTGACTAGTATCTCCACAATGACAACATTTTGAAAAAGTTGTGGCAGGATGCCCCCCTGCCGTAGGAGGGCCTGTTACCTATCAGCTGATGCAGTAGCTCAGGGCATCTTCCCCCTCACAAGCATTTTCTAATTGCTGAAATAAGTCAGGACAGCTTGTCTTGTAGCAAGTTATTTTGGCACCATGGAGGTGACATGCCCAGCTAACAATAAACATCTTGCCTTGAAAGCAAGATTGTAGGAAGAAAAGCTTGAATTTCTGACTGACAGGCACTTAACTTTACAAACTATAAAAGCTACACCATACTTTAACAAAGCAGACATCTTCTACACATTCCTTGGAAATTTGTGGGGATCTCTCCTCAAGGTTTGAGATGCCTGTCTTGAGTTAGTCTCTCGAGGGTTGAGTGAAAGGTCTCCGTGTACCCCATCATCAATTTGGTGGTAAGTTACATTGACTCCTAATCTATACTATTTCTTTGCTAGCTGTTATATAGGTACCTTGATGTCATGCATTGTTTTATGTAATCTATTAGTAGTTCTTTTGTTTTGTCCTGTATAGTAAGAAACTCTGTGTAGGACTATTTTCTGTTAATCTACTGTTAATGACAGTCTATTTAATGACCCATTTTATGATAAACCTGAGCTACCATTCTTGAGAACATGTGAGCCAGAGCAATTTAGGTGCAGGTCACCTAAGCAGAGCTGCTGTGAAAAATCTGAGCCTAAGGCAGGGTTTGTTCAAAGCTCTCGCCTGATCCATAACACAAGTGTATGAAAAAGGACATACATTTCAAAAGGCACCAAGACATTTACATTGTTAAAAGCTTTCAATTTTTTTTTACCTCTTGGACAGAAGGATCATGTATCAATAACAATGGAAAAAACTACCTTGGATTTAAAGAAAAAATTTTCTTTATAACTTAATAGAAAACTTTAATGCTGAACTTGAGCAAATGCTGTAACTTACCTGTCTTTTTCCAGTTCTGTGGAGAAGCCAGTGATATCTACATTGCAATACTGCCTTAGTATAGCACTGTATAATAAGCATTTCTCAGTTATTGATAGCATTAGTGTTACAAAGCCACTAACACATTACCTGGGGTGCACTATCCCCAAAAATACTGAAACATGACTACTTCCCACTTGGGAAAGCTGAGACATCACCTTAGTTTTTTTCTACTTGATTTAATGACATTTGAATGCATATAACACTGGTGTATATATATGTACATAAAATGTGCATTTTGATACTTTTGAGAAGAGATAGAATAAAAAGTTTACCAAAGACTACAGATAGTGAGCATGGAAATACAGTTTTGGAGCAACAAACACAAATCTGTTAATATGAATGATTACCATCGCATAATGAATTAGGGTTACCTGGACACTTACCAGACAGTGTTAAATATAAACCTGGGATAGTTACATGACATGTAAATGAATTACAGCATAAACAAGTGATGCTGCATGAATTTTTGATTGGATTCAAGATCAAAATATGCAAAAGCAATCAGAACCAAGTTGGATGTTATTCAGCAGATCCTGCTCTGGTTTTTAATCATAGGTTTGGAATTGAACATCTTGAACATTCCAAACTTGTGGTAAAGTTAGAGTTTTTTCTTTATGAAAATCAAAAATTATCAATGGCCTCTAGCCTGAAAGATGCATCTTCTTCTATTCCTTCCTGTGTCAGCTCAGCTCAACTGACAAACTTAGGTTCAATCTACTCCAGTATCTAGAAGGTATGGAGATGTTAGCAAGGTCTTTTCAGCTTTGGTCTTGTTCTCCTGTCACAGTGGCATGTACATCTATAAAATCATATCTTTCTGTTTACTTGCTTATACTTATTTCCACACCCACTCAGCTGACATATGCTTTTACCAGCCACTCTTGATAAAACAGCTTGAGCTAGAAATCAATGCTGATACGAAAACTCATAAGACCAGCATCAAATTCACTCTGTTGAGAGCAAATCCATTTCCTTTTAATGAAGGCACATCTGCTTACAGAAGTGATGAATGTGGCAATGTGACAAGACATAAGCATGTGTTTAACTGTAAAAAAAAATTTCCAAGCACTCTCAGGCTTAAAGTGTATGTTCATTTGAGCTGAGGATTCTATTGCAGCTTCCAATAATGGTAAAGAAAGCTGCTAAACTGATGATGCAATAGGAGCTGACATAGCAACAACTATGTGTGTGTCATCTTATAAAACAGATACTTTTCCCCTTGCTGTGCTTGTAAATGCCATGACAGAAGAGAACATGGCTTTCCAGGTTATTTTTTTTTTGTTATTTGTTTGTTTGTTTATTGTTAGGATTCATGAAGCAGGTGTGGATAATCGCAATATTTTCCATGGGTTTTTGGTATTTCAGCAGGTGTTTATGGACAAGGTTAGCCTGATGACTGATTTTTTAAGAGTATAAGGAAGTCTAGGGAAGGAATTTGAATCACTAGAAAAGGGGATCAGTGTCTGTCAGGTTTCTTCAGAGCTTCCGAGCAATGTTGTATACTTATGACTATTGCACCAGTATGAAGAGGGTGCTTCTCCCTGTAGAGGTAGCGCTGAAAGAACAAGATGAAATGCTCTTGTACTCATCATTACTTCAGGTGGAATTGAAGAATAACTGGTTTCAGGCAGTGAAGGCTGTGACTGAAAAGCATGTAGCATCATGCAGTTTGAGCTAAATTACATCCATACTATGAATTAAGCATAGACTTCATTGTGCTTTTTGCCCAGGCATGTTCAGCAAATGCACTTCTTTAGTAAGGCAGTACAGAGATGCTGTATTAGGCTGACCTCAACAATACTGGAAGGAAAAAATGTGAGCCTGAATCATGAATTAACTTAGGTGAGCTGTTTCCTTTACATGTTCTGGATGTGTTCATACCAAGGGTAAGTCACATAGAGCTGTACAAAGCTTTAGTCTTTCAGAAAATGTTGTGTGTGTTATGCAGTCTTGATTTTTTTCAGGTTGCTCAACAGTATTTTTCCTGGAAAGAGAATGTTTGCTGGGAGCCAGACCTCCTCATGTCCATCTCCTTCCAAGGTGGGTGAAGCTCATTCTCTCTGCACATTCTTTTCCCATCTTTTGCATTTGAATGCTGCCTGGCTACTGTTTTGTGATTTTTGTTTTAATCACTGCTTTTTCCTCCTTAATTGTTATTGCACCATACATTCTGAAATATTGATAGGATTGGAAGTCACTGTATGCATAATAAGATACTTCTTACTTTGCATGTTAATAATATAAGTATTTTCTTATGGTATCTTTTCTATTACATATTACACAGAGTGATTTGTTGTTACAGTATACTCCTTGCATTTCAGAATATCATGTTCTGGATCAAACGTGACTCTGATGATGTGACAGATACCTCTGTCATGGTTTCTTATACATTTACACCCCTCACCAGGTGGCATATTCTGTTGAACGAATGCTGAAATGGTACCTTTTCTATCAGCACACTTCTGCTTGAGAATGTACTTCCGCTTTGAGCATTACAACAGTTCATGAAGGAAGGACTGGATTAACTTTATCATATCCACAATGAGGAAAGAAAATACATGCATGCTGAATACTTTAGTTATAGTTGTGCATAATAAATTGTTTTTTGTTTCATGAGTTATCCCAAAATATAAGTTATAGTACAGATAACAAATAAAAGCTTAAATTGTCTAAAGGTAATAACTTAGGTAGCACTGCATGTGTAAACAAAGAATACTTATACTTACACTAAATGTCAAGATGAATTTTTTTTTTTCCCCACTTGGCGAATCTTTTAACTTTTCTTATTTCCAATGTGGCTTAATTTTCTGCAACCTGTGGCATAATGATGCTCTGGCATCATTATATTTCAGGTTTTTTCTACTGTTGTGTCCATGGCCTTACATATCTGTCATTTTATTTGCCCCCACACTTCAGATGTTAGATGTAAGCTGGGATATTTATCTGGCTATCACAATTTGGAAGAGTCACTCAGAATGGTTGGGCAATGCTCTTCCAGAGGTGGACGGAAGCCTTCAGTCTGATTCAGTTGTTCCCTTCATTCTCCCCTCCATGAACAGTTGTTACAGAGGTTTAGAAAAAGACATGTATTGCACACACACACAGACACACTCCTCAACTGCTAGACAAAGAACACTTCATCACTTTATACCCTTCAGATAAATTGTAATAAACCTATGGCAACTCCTGTTAGAGAAGGTAAGTTACTACACTGAACTACACAATAGCATACATCTAGAAAGATTGTCTTAGCCATGGAGATATCATAGAACTGTTGGAACTGATCTGGATTCAACCTATAAAGGACATGCAGATGTCCTGTAGGCTATCATTGAGATGAGTACCATAGAACAAGAGAAAAAGAAATTATTTCATTACTGAAATGCATAGTTATAAATGTCATGATTTTTTGCAGGCTGAAGCAAGCATTTAGCTAGGTTTAATATGCTGTATCAATACAGGTTATATCAATACAAATTATGCTTGTATGGATTGCAGGCTCTAATTCTAAAGGAGAGGGCTTCTGTAGGACTGGCCTAACTTGCCGTTAAGGGGAGACTAAAATCCATTTGCTGTAATTAAATGATACAAGTTTTATTATAAAAGAAAATAAAGACACAGGTGATGAGCGCTCCAGCTTTTTTGCAGGGCAAGCTGATCCATGCAATCTAGTCCCATTCACACAGGACTAGATTGATATCAATTGTACAATGTGATCTTTGTTGCCAAAATCTTATATGAAGCCTATTAATGCCTACTCTGGTCAAAGGAAATATAGCATACATCATTGAAGAAAATAAAATGCATAGAAATAGTGCGACTAACATGTAATAATTTTGCCAGTCATGGGAAAAATGTGATTAACAATATACAGTGCATGCTCTATTACCACAGGCACTAAGGGTTGGACATAAGCTTGCCTATGAAGAGGGAAGCTGAAATAACCATTCCAAACACAACCTAAACCATGAAAGTAGAGATGGAGGTCCTGGCCACAATACCTCTTAAGAATAAGGTATCCCAAATGAACAATCCAGCCATAAATAAGCTAACAACATTTGGAAGATTCAGGAAGAGTAGACAGGAAAATAAAATGTATAGTGATAACATTTTCATGGTCTCACATTTTATGGACCTCCAACATTACTTCCTTGATTTATAAATTGGGGTTTTTCAATGCAAACATATGGAATCTGGTAGAAAAAATAAAGATGGTATTAGAATGCAGCTCCTTCTGTGTCACAGAGGAAGAAGTATTAATCAGAACTACACAATAACTGCAAACAGCTGAGAATACCCATAAATATGGTTGAGACACAGAGCTTTCTGTGCAACCTCAGAGGCATATTGAAATGACAAAATGGAGAAATAATTGCCAAACTGGTGATGACCATCACTGTTCATCATGCTTTGCTTAGCAATGAATATGCTGAATGCCCTTCCCTATGCCAGCTACCTGGGTGAGCTATTGAGATTTTGCTAACGTTGCAGGTAAATGAGGGTCAGAGGGCAAAAGTGTTTGGGGTAAGGGCTTCTTTCTCCTTCATCACTGTAAACAGTATCATTCACACTCACAGTGACATTCACAGTCACAAGGAATTAATTCATAGAGAACATTTTAGCAATGAACACCTTGGGTGATTATTTACTTATTGCAGGAACCATGTGTGAATGAAGCTATCTTGCCTGGGTGTTAATCAGAGGTTATGGTTAGTTGGGAGGGACCCACAATCATGAAAGTGGTGAAAGATTTGAAAACTTCTACAAAGGGTGATTGTCCCTGAGAGTCCATGGCATTTTAGGAGGAGTGTGGCAGAGGGAATAAATAACCTGTAGCCCAATATATGATTTCTTCTGAATTAGAAATAAAAGGTCATGGAAGTTCCTATCATGAAAGGAACAAGAAAATTACATCTTTTGTCCTTTTTTTTTTTTTTTTTTTACTACTGTTTTTTCTTCAGGACCAGTTTTAACATGGCTTCAGTCAGACATTTTGAGATGCTGACACTAAATTTCTCTTCACAGATAGATGTCTGAATGAACTGTTAGTTTTTGGTTTTCCAGAGTATAGCTCACTTTCAAATTAAGAAGCTGAGAGCATTCTCTATTTTCACATGGTCCATGTTGATAATTATGGGCAACTGCACAGTCCAAAGAGAGTTCCTGAAAGGACCATACTTCAGGGCTGTTAATCTGTTGGCATGGCTTCTTGGGTATAGAAGGTGTGTTTTAGGACATTTGTTAGCAGTGACTTCACTAAGAGCTTGTTACAAGATAGAAAGTGATACTGCAAAATATCCTTAATGATCGATTCCCCCTCTTTTTAAAAATCAGCTTGGATTTCTGTATAAATAGATCAGCGCTCTGCTATTGATTTGCATTTACATAATTTCCACCCAATATGTTTTTTAATGTAGTTTTGGTTTCATGGGGCTCAAAATAACAGAACACAAAATCACATATCTTTATGCAGAATATGTTAATATACTCATTTTATCAACCTGTTTTTCAGAATATATTTATGCCATTCAAGTGATTCATTTCAAAGCTAAGGTCTGGTCTGTCTAGGAACTTGCTAAAATGGGTGAGCTTGACTCTACTCAGCTTAGATCAGATCTTTGTGGTTTTCTTGTCTTGATGTAAAACCTTGTGAATTAATTCAGAGTGTTAAACACAGGAGCACTACATAGGAAGGGCAGCTGAAAACCTCACAAGTGTATTATTATGCATAAGAACTCCTTCCACCATAAAATTATATGATACATGGTGCCATCAGGAAACATGGTAAATTAGTCTAATTTTATGGCATTCTGTTACAAATTGGAAAATTAAGAAATTAATCTAAACCAATCAGTCCAAAGCACACAGGGGTGTGTACTCATATGCGTATGGGAGCATATAATGTGCTTGAGAGTAGGATGAGGACATTGGATGAGTCATCAAATAGTGTTTCTGCTGATAAGCAGAAACATTATTTGACATCTTAGACGGAGCCCTAATACTTCATAACTTTGTATAAAGACTCTGGATGCAGTTTTTATAGACAGCAAAATTTGTGTATGGTGAACCACCTTCCATCTTCTTCTCATTAAAAAGTTGTCTTGTTTATTCATTTATTCCTGACAAAGATAAAACTTTAAATAAGAGTTTCCATTCTACTTTCAATGCAGTACTCTTCTAATGAATGCAACACAAAATAACTAGTCATTATTTACTTGCTCTGAGTCTACCATTGTCTTACACAATGTATAGGCTGTACATGAAAAAAAAGATAGTGGTACTGCTGTTCTGCAGTGGCTGAGAGAAAATGGAGAGGAAGAGGCTTTTTAGACAATTCCCATCATAACTCTAATAGTATGTTATAGTAAAAGGAATATGTCTGTTATTAGTGGACAATTAGACTAATCAGCATGAGATTTTTGCCTGTCAGCTAGGCAGTGTACTGTGGGATTTTAAAATTGAAGTTTTTAGAACTAAACTCTCCTAATAAACCAAACATGTAAGTTATAACACTACATCAATGAAGTTGATTTATGTATGAATAGAAGGCCAGCATACACACCTGAAGTAAACTGTGAGAAATCCAGGCTGCTGTGTGTAGGTAGAGGAGACACACTGAGGCTGGAAAAAGCCAGAAGATTAACTTCCACAGTTTCTCTTCTTCTCCCCAGGTTTAGTCCTAACAGTCTGCAAATAAAATCTTTGGGAAAGAGCACAAATGCAATTCTGAAAAGCAAAGTAAGAGCTTTAGAGATCAGAGATGAAGTTGTCATTAAAAGCAAAGAAATAGGCAGCTGAGGACATTACAACATTCCTGGTGGCTGAATTATAAACTCTTGAAAGTCTTTCCACACCTTGAAAGTGATGCAGAAGTCAGTTTAACAGGAAATGGAGATACACATTTTTAAAACAATAACTAGACTGAGGTCTGGATTCCCTTAAGTGTTAGGCTGATACTGCCCCTCAGGACTGCCTGGTCTATGGCCACGTTTGTGCTTGGAGAGTTCTTCTATCCCAAGGCTTTGTTAGGCCACAAAAAGCCAGCACTTCTACTTAAAACTTTATTAAGCTACTTCAGCCCAGTTAGCTATCAGGCTATTTGCTATGGAAAAGACATTTACATAGTGTTTGTACTGTAGGAAAATAATACTCCTAACTGAAATAAGGAAAAGAATAACTTGTGTCAGTAGAATTTATTAATGTGAGGGCTAATAAGATGACTTTCTGTAACTAACCATCCCATTCTTTTCCCATGGACAGCTCAGCTGTGCCAAACACCACTGAGCTGTGTGTAAAACAGCTCCTGAATCACTAGCAGTGGCAGTCCAAATAATTCAATTATTTTGAAGTAAAATTATAACCTTTTATTTCCAAGACAAATTGAACTGCACGATGGTGTTTCAGAAGCAACCTAAGCCTCTGTGTCAAAGGTCCATTACACTCAATGCTTTTTCTAAAATTCATTGAACAACTCTTGTGTCACCCAGAAATAATCTCTTATTCTCTGTGTTTCAGTTTCTCTGTGTTTCTACGGTCCAAGTAGAAACCCCAGTGCCAATACCCTGAAATAATCAGCACGGGTGACATTGCCAGGTTTTGCAAGGTGATACTGCATTCCCAGGGGGGTTGATAAAGGGGATGATTCACATTCAAATACACCCTAACGGTCTGGAGAGTATTTTACTGACAT